TGTTGACAAGACTCCGTAGAGACCAACTAACTTAAAAACATTTCTTGTACTATTTTACAGCTAATCAGTGAACTAAACGGACTCGAAAGTTCATCGATTCACTGCTAGCCAACTCTCTTATTTATAACGTAACCTTGTTTCTAAATACTTCGCAACATCTCTCGATCACTATATTCTTGAGGATATAACTAACCTTACTATAGTCTCGTCGACAGCAACATCTGATTTTAACATCAAATCACATATTTATTATTAAGAGTGCTCTTTGAAAAAGTTTTTATTTTATTTTGAACATATCTTATGAACAGTAGCGTTCTTTTGTTTTTGTTTGTTTTAGAACAACGCCACATTTGGCTATCTGCTATATCCACCGCGAGGAATTGAACGTCTGAGTTTAGCGTTGAAAGTCCGTAGACTTACCGCTGCCCCACACGGGGACTTATATATATAACTTATCATATAACTTAAAGTTAGTTCGTGGTTATATCAATAATTATATAAAATAGTTATATAAAACTACCATGTTGACAAAATCATAGTGATTATTTATATACTGATTATTTAACATTCATGGATTGTATTTGAAAATAAGTTTAAGTAATTTTAAATGGGATGTTAGTGTATTATTACGTTTTAGAATTCTGAATGATATCATGGATTAATAACTTGATCACAACTATAAAATGCAAACACAGAAATCGAAATGAAAGAGCCGTGGTATTTAGTTTCATTGATGTCCAGATGATATGACTAAAAGTATCCACAAAACGCAAACGTAGAAAATAAATCGAACATGGACAGCTAAAGAAACCAAATAAAACTCTATTCTAAAATGTTAAAGAAGATATCTAAACTGACCGGTCTCTTGTTCTAGGGATGAGTGAAGATTAATTTATATCTACACCCGTACAGGTTAATTACAAATATAATTCTGTCTTACTGCTAAATTCAGATAAAACGCTAAAGTGCTGTATACTAGAATCAAATCCTGCAAACGTCACCGACACAGACTATTTCAAATACAATTTATAGGGAAATAAATCCTAAAAGTATACCAATTTGTATAAGTCTTTGTACCACCTCTTCACTTGGTCTCGCCTTTCCCCAAGAGGTTAGACATAGGGCAAAAGTGATATAATTCCCTAATCAGTAACGTATATATAAGTAAGCTTTAGCGGAATAAGATGATCAGCACATATTTATGACCTTTCGCCATTTGATTAAAAAGAATGACCGTACTAAATAAAGTACACATGTACAAGTATTTAAAAAACTTACCTGTATACATATGACTAAATATATTTTATAAACTAGATATGGAATGGTAAAATTCATGAATATTTCAATCATTGAAGAAACAAAAGATTAAAATCACGGAAGAACTGTTTTCGTTGTAAGTATAATCCAAGGAAATTATAAAACAATGGACTCATATTGTATGTCAACCGTAAGACAAGACTAATGTGTTCTTGTCCACAGTTCATGATATGAAACTGGTATCTTCCGAAAACGAAACCGGTCTAACTCGTGATAAGTGGCAAAATCTAATGATTGTTTGTTATTAAGCACAAAGCTACACAATGGGCTATCTGTGCTCTGTCCACCACGGGTATCGAAACCCGGATTCCAGCGTTGTAAGTCCGCAGACATATCGCTGTGCCACTGGGGGGGGCAAATCTAATGAAGAAGCAAACATCTCGTTTTGTGTTAATTACAATACGCAAGAAAAAAGCATCATA